TCTATACTGTTAAAAAAGAAATGAAAAGGCGAATATATTAAGAGAGCATTTTGTATTATTCAGTATTATTCAATCGATTTTCCACTAATGAGAATGAAGAAACAACTTTTTTTAAAAACTGTCATTGGGACATTTCATCAAATATAACTGTACATTCAATTGTTTCTTCTGTAGAAAGTGACATTCTATAAATCTAGTAAATAAGACCTTCAATAATCATTATTCTTCGGTTAGATTTATTAAATTAAACACAGACTGTCTTCTTATAATAAATTAATGATAAAGTTCTAAGTCGTTTTTTTTTCAAGTAAATTATTTTTGTCCTGTGATCTGATCCCAAAAATATTCACTGAACAAAAAATATATTCTCAAGAACAACAGATGATAGGAACTAGTAAAATTAACAGTGATAGCTGATATCGACGGTTTCAATGGAAAAGGTCCTCATTATGAAATTTCTTTTCAATTTAAAGCAGGAACGTCTGATGGCATTGATACTTTTGTTTGAATTCAAGGTTGTTTAACTCACCCGTGAATAATAAGGTCATGCAGACTTATTTTATGGTGCTAAAACTGTGAACTGTCTTCATTTTAAATGGTTTTTCTACTAGCGTATGAATCCCACTTAAATCTGAGATCAATAGATCATATAATACAACAATGGTCATCATAACTGATCAACCAAAATCCATTTATCACCACAAATACAAACAACAAGTAAACAGTTCAGGAGTGCTTCGTTGTGTTTAATAATTTTCATGTGCGCGTATATGAACATAAAAACACAGACATCAGCCAGCATAACAAACATTTAAGAATAGTTTAACATCTACTGAAATGGTTACGAAGAGATAAACAAATTTTAATACCTGGATAAGAGTAGAATCCATCCTATTCGATTGTGAAACATTTTCTAGGACTGATCTACAACTGCTTACATAAAAGTCTATGGAAATTTTTAGACAGGAAGATTTTTAGCCAATCCTATATATTTAAAAACTATTTACCGTTGCATCACGAATACGCCAACGGTGCTAATTATAGTTTTTACTACTAAGAGCAATTCTGGTGATGTTTTTCAGCGAGACTATATATTTATGAACGAAACAATAAAGTTAATGATGGCAACCCTTGAACTTAGGTGCAAAATTCATACATCCATATGGCTAAATAGCATTTTGGGATTATAATTGATTCCAATTTGTGATGTAAATCCTAACTCTAATTACCAACCATAATTTCTAACTCTAGATCCTAATTCCGATTTTCTCAAAGTCACTTTAGCGTCGCTCAAAGGTCATCTATTAATTATAATCTCATCGATATCTGATAAGATGCCTAAAACTAGGCCCGAAATTCAGATCTTAATTGGTTGGGACGTGAATGACCAACAAGCCGGGTATTGTTAATCGATTTCCAGATATATATTACCAGAACCTAAACGTGTTTCGTTTTCATTTCATTTGAAAATGTTATCCCAGTATACATGTATGTGTGCTCACCCTCATAGTTCTGTGTTCTTTGTAAAAATTCCTATCACAGTGGAATAGGAAAGGTGTTTCGGAATATCGATAAGATACCTCAAGCATACCCTTAAGAGTACTTAATAAATACAGTTATTTTAATGGTTTATTTCTACTCCAATATGTTTTTTATTTATTTTATTAAAAATTTTGTGCATACTACATTTCCTGTGGTAGAGAACAAACAAGCTCCAGCTGAAGATGTAATAAAGAAAAGACGCTGGACGTGGATAGGAAATGCATTGCGGGAATCATCAAACCTCATTACAAGGTAAGTCCTAACTTAAAATTCTCAGGTCAAAAGGAAAGCGAACAAACTAAAGAACATATTACGAATTGAATTGAAAATAGACATCAAAAGAGTGGATGGCAATGAATCATTAGACGATTTCTTCTCAACAAAGTGTACTGCTATCTGTTTATACATTCATAACTTATCTCCCATATATAAATTTCAGGGAATGAATGACCTGTCAAGCTTTATTCTATCTTTTAAATAACAACATGAAAGAAGATAAATTTTTAATATTTCCTGGGAAAGCATTTTTTTGTTTACTGAAATAATATTTTTGTAAGTTGATAGTGAATTGATATGGTACAAGTTTATTGAGGATGATCAGTGACGCAAGGCTCAGTCTCCTAAGTAAGTTAATTTGACATTAAACAGTTTGAGGCAAGTGACAAGAAAGCATTAACTAAAGTATTCGTCCCGACTGTTTCTCATCAGTAGATTTATATGAAATTTTGGAGAAACTGACGCTCTGAAAAAGATTTAAATGTACAAAACTCAAAATCACAACAGAAACACTACGACTTAGTTATTTCTGTCATAAGTAACTTTTAGTAAAACTGAATTTATTGTAATAGACGGTTACACAAGACTATAGTATTGTATTACCGCTAAAGGTTAGACAAAGAAAGACATAGGTTAATAATCTTTGAATTATTAATTTACAATATAGGTTTCACTATAGTACTTGGTTAATAGAACCAGCTATCTATGTTTGAAAAGGTGGTAATTCTTCATTTATGTAATGAAGTTATCAGACAGATCTTGCTATTTATTATAGGATAACGGAAGATGAAATACCATACCTTCTCCCATGTTTAATCATAGCACTTAAATTAAGTACGGGGGAATATAAAACAATTATGGAATTTTTAGTGAAAATAATATTACATATTTTTAGTATTCAGTGTTTAATGATATCAGCTAGAAAAACAAACATTTAGGGTTAATGAGTGGTTAACAGTTATCATAATGTAATTTAAGACTCATTATCAGTATTGTTCAAGGTTAAGTAGGAAATTATAGATAATTTGGCGAGACTATAATCTATGGACGAACTAATCAGATTTACGATAGCAGGTCTTAGATTTTGGCGCGAAATTCATTCATCTATTGGGCTAAAGAGTCTTGGAATTATAGCTGATGTTAGTTCGTGATGAAAACCCTAAATCTGATTCTTAATACTAACCAACTGTAAATCATAATCCTTATTCTTCAAACTGTTTTATAACCCTCATTTATCCCTAGTAAGTAGGTGGATACTTTCAAGGTCTCTTTAGCGTCACTCAAAGGTCGTCCATAAATTATAGTCTCAGCGATATTTTATGTATCAGAATGGTTAAATGTCAACATTATCTAAGATCTAACATTGTTGAACATAATCATTCAAGGAATTAATTAGTAATGTACAGTTATGACAGTTGTTAATAAGTAAGTATTAATTGATAAAACGCTATTGATTTCCGATAAAAATAATATAAATCATATATTGGTTGTAACAGTTGGTAATTTATTGGTAATTATGAAGATTATTCAACAATAAACTGTTGTTTTTAGATGAAGAATGATCAATAGGATTCATCCTGAAGTTAGGATAATCTCTAGCCTATCAACATAATGATTTAAGTTACTAGTCATGATAATTGCTTTACATTTTAAGAAAAATTAATGAAACATTTACAATTTACTACTATTCATTAGGTCTTGTTATTAATCAATGGCTAGAAGAAATAATTCCAGAGTTATAAACTAATTACTGTTGTATTAAATAAAATAAAACATTTAAGTCTTTTTCAGTTAAATTAATACAATCATTTTGTGTGGAGACATTTATTCTGAAAAACCTATCTATATTACACATATTACTTATCATTTATTAGTAAGTAGTTAATTTGATCTTAGTGACTATGCAACTTATGATTTCACTATTTCACTCTGTGAAGTTGTACAGGCTAAATGTTGCATAAGACGGGAATGGAAACTTCACTTAGTTAAAATAAAATGCATTTATTCTTTAAATTTGAAGTTTTTTATATTGTTTCTTCCTTAGTATATAAATATAATAAGTCTTCTAATTGAAAGCTAGATTTGGTTCCTAAGCTCTTCTATTAACTCCCAGACTAAATCTATACAACAACCTGAACAGAAGAGGAAAGGCGCGAAACATGGAAGATACACTTTACTCCAAAGGTTCGTTTGTGCACAGAAAATCTAGGGCATTTATAGTATTGTAGATGGCATTGGGTTTCCGGAAAATTCTGGAACGCTACTAAACATAGTAACCGTATAGGTAATCATCCAATCAGAAACTCGACATGTGACTTTTCACTTTCTAGATGTTTCTGGTAAAACTTCTATTGAATACTGATTGGATAAGATGTTTCTCAGAGTTTCCAGAATCTTCGTTGGCCTTTTTTCAAGGAGTTAGATAGTTGTGAATAAATCCTTATTGTTTGTCATATATTTCAATCCCTTTAGTGAACTAGTTTTTTTTTCTAATTAAAAGACTTACCGTAAACTGGTTCAAGAACTGTTACGAGAATAGTTTATTGTAAAATTTCATGGTAATTTCTTGATTGATTTAACACACTAAGTAAAATCTATACTTACTACTTAGAATGATTATTGAACGAATGAAATGAATAAATTTTCTCAAAATGATTGTTAGTCATTTAAGTAATAGAAGACTGTTTACAACATAAAACAATACTTATCAAAATAATTAATGCAGAACATTACATATATAAGTGAACAATATTGTTTTCGATTAGATGCTCATCAAACTTTATTATAATATACAGTAATATTTATATGCATATAAGAAATTATTAAACCAACCAAGGTAGTTTTTCTGAGTCAATGATAACTATGGAAATGATCACATAATCAGTAAAAAGTACAAATTGATCATGTGATGACAAGTGTATTAGTTGTGATAAGAATAATAAAGGCTTAAATCAATATTACACAATCGAAAATAGGTCAATGATTCGTATATGCATATAAATACTACTGTATATTAGAGTGAAACCTGATGAAGATCTAATCGAATACAATATTGTTCATTTATATAATTAGCAACAATATAAACAAAATTCTAATTCTACTATCAAATATTCCATATATATATATATATATATATATATATATATATATATATATATATATATTACTCAGTTAAAACTTACTTCCATAACGGGTATTTCGATATTTGTAGGCACTTTGTTGTTGATTATCTCCTGGCATATTTGTTTTTTGAATTTTCAATCAACTGAAATCATAAACTTTCCAGTGAATTTTGTTCAAAAGACAAAAAAAGTTATCTTGCCACTGTTTATTAAATCTAACTGTTCGAAAGTTTGATTTCAAAACAAAGAAACAAAAAACCAAGTTATTGTGACATGAATGTTGATGAAAAGAAAGTTTCTTTTTCTCAAGATGTTGAACAAGAAAAATTTTTATTTTTAAGAAAAATTTTTTCTTCTTTAAGATGTTTACACTTTATCTTTCATAAGAAAACAATCTTCACCAAAAAAGAGAATTTTTTTGATTTAAAAAATTGAATTATCGATGAATCACCTTTGAATAAACGAAATTGTTATCAATTGATGAAGAATGAAATAAGGACGAAATTTGTTATTATTTTTTTCTTATCAGATAAATAAAAAACAGTGTACAAAGTAAATTATGAAATTTTCATTGAATTCATTTATAGTTTAGTGAAAAGTTTTCGAATCATATTGTGTTAATAAAAGGTGGAAAAATGTTGTTTTAGAAAAAAAAGTACATTTTGTTTTACTTCAATATCAATGAAAAATAATGTATTATTCAATCTATTTCTGATTGGGAATCATTTTCAAATTCTTATTGGTAGTTGAATACACACTTCACTAAATTAAATGAATCAATAAATTTGGATAGTATAATTTACTGCACAATTTTTGTATCTCTGTCCTTGGGAAATTGGATACAGAATATGGTGTTATTGAAGAATAAACACATTCATATATATATATATATACATATGATGATGATGAAATCAATAATGTGCGCGACATGTATAAACACTTTTAGTCAATTTAAATTAAAATATGACATTTTATTTAAATTTTATTTCGGAATAATTCTACCAATCGTTATGGATGTTATGCCCATTGAACATCAGGGAAGCTGAAAAAGTTTGGTTGATATTGATTTATTGACTTGTCTTCTTTGTTTATCAAACATTCACTTTTATATATTAATTCAGATAATAGTGTTTCTTTCAAGAAAAGTCACTTACCTACCACTATTAGAATTAAAATTATTGTACTCGAAATCTATGGCACCTGTTATTCATCAAATTTACTTTGTAGAAACATGAAGTACCACCTAATAGATACATATTTGGTCACACAGCCCAGCTGATAAAGTAATTTATATATATTTATATTGTCAAACGATCTGATTCAACAGGAGTGCGAATTACTGAAATATGTACCGTACAAGCGTTAGCAATTAATTTATTCAAACCTGAGCATTGTGTCCAAAAGAGACACATGTAAGCTATTATTCTTCAATGGTTATAATATCTAATTATCATAAACTGTAATTTAGTTAGTAAGACATTTTTTTAATACTTTATATCTCTTTAATTTCAGTTATTCGTTATTATCAATTCAAGTGGACAATTAACTTTTACACATTTGATTTGAGCTTATTATCCCTAAATTTCCGATTATTAAGAAACTTTCATTGATACATAATACGATATTATTGTCCTTCTATTTTTCGCTAGAAAATTTATTTGTAAATTAACTATAAATGAGGTTGTATAGCTTGAGTAAATGATATTGTCAAAAAGGTTTTGTTTACTGAATTATTTTTCAATCATTTTATCCGCAATATCCCAATAATCATGAAGCCGAACTATTCATCCAACTTGGAATACTCTTCCAAAAAAAAGAAACGAGCTGTGGTCTGTATAAACTCAATACCAGTAATGTACTATAAAATCATTTCTACTTCATTGCATTACTAGTCTCATATTCTTCATAACCATATAGATCTAAACGAACATATATATATGCTTGATTTTTAATGTGAGTAACATGCTAGGATGATCAGACCTGTTTTTATTACGTTGAATATTTACTTATTTATTCTTCTATACTAATTTAACATATGCTAATTTTAAACTGGTTATTTATTCTTTAAGGAAGAGATTTGAATAAGATTATAAAATGCCAGAAGTTTAAGTTTTTAGTTCTCAGAATATTCCAGTTACATCAATTTACCATTACTTGGAAAATGTTGCTTGATGGTTTTATAGAAATCAAAATTCTCTATCATTTACACAAAGGAATGTATAGCATACAATAAAGCTGATGTTTGAAAATTAACAATAAATACCTTAAAATATTTGAGGATATTTTTTATGAAGAATAGAATGGTTGTGCATGTTTCGAGCTGTTCAGTAAAGCAAGGAGCACACTTTTGAACTATATATTAAATTAAGTATAAAAAACTTCAATATAGGTGATAGCACAGTGTCACCAGAATAACGATAACCGAGTCTCTTCATTATTATATATTGTTCGTAATATTATAATAAGAGTTGTTCCTGCAGTTCACACCCATTTATCTCATCCTGCTTTTGCTTTTTAGAATCTATCCCTTTTTATGTTAGCTTTATAGTCTCCGAGTAATCATGAGCATTACCAAGTCTATTAGAGGACAAACGGTTAACCTGGTTCCAACAATTCGTCCAAAACCCAACGTTGATCTGATTTCATTCAGTTACTATTCAGTATTATTTCGAAGTACTAAGCGAAATTAGTATTGTCATTCCACTTCCCGTTGATGAGTGTAAAATAAAAAACCAATCGTCAGAGACGACCATGCAAAAGGAACAACTTTATATTTAAACTCGGATGGGAGTCAGTCATTAATCAACCTACTAAAAAATGAACAAATGCACACTCCTCAGTAGACAATATAGATAACGAAGAGTACATGAAACAAGGATATTTCAAAACCACTAATGATTTGACAAATATCAGTTTCTTATCTCGCTAAATAGATGAACAAGTGTTATAATGTCTCTCTTATTTGTTAAATAACTTTCTACGACGAGTGTGTTTAATTTTAACTTTCTTCAATGAAGTAGGTTTTATATGAGAAGAGAATCGTTTTTACTCATTATATAGCTTTGTTTAAATCATAATAAAGATACAGAATCATTTCGGGTTATTTTGTGAAGTTTGTTAAGTAGTGCTGGATACTAAAGACATCAGCTGAATTAAATTATTTCCCTCCTATCATGCCTGCTGATATGGAAGAAAGTTTTGCTCTGAGCTTACCGAAGCAAAATTATCTGGTAGTGATCATAATACGTGTCTCCGTAGATGTATTAGTTCGAAATATCTCTGCAGTACTCAAATTATTTAACACTACTGTTTTACTATTCATCTAACGGTACTGAATGGAGGGACGAATATTAATATTAAATACATATTTTAACGATGATAAAAACTCCGAAACAAGTGAAAAATAAACGAGGACTCAAACTAAAATGCTGTATGGAAGATAATTGTTGAAAATGAAAATCTGGAACATATATGTCAGTCTACATCTCTCTTATTATTCACTGTGTTTATGTTTGTATCTACTTAAAAGCAAATTCAAAGTCAGATACTCATTTTGTATAATACATAGTTATGGGGTTTTATTATTAAGTTTTCTGTTTGAATTAAGGAAGAAAGAGAGAATTAGTTTATTGAGGAACGTAGTAAGAGGACTCAGAGTCAGAAATGTTGTGGAACAAATACCATTTAGTGTAAACCGCCGAAGTTTCACTAACTTCAATTTTATGGGATGAGGATATTTTGAAGGGTATTCAATCAGACAAGAAGGGTTGAACTGAAGCCAAATTATCTGTGGAAATAAACTTTCGAGGGTTTATCACAACAGGTCAACGTCGGTGATGGCGAACGTCGATTGATGAAAGAATATCGTAGAGTCGGTGTTTGAGGCAGCGAAGCCGCACCATACTTGTCGCCATCTCATCTTTGTTCGTTCATACACACGCTTAACTAGAAAGATTTCATTTATTCTCTAGGGATATTGTAGTAACAGGATGACTTTGGCACCATATTAGAGCAGGTAAGAATAAAGAGTAGTGAAATGTCGGAACTGTAACTACAAATCACATTAGTTAAGCAACTATACAATTTCACTTGCTGATTTATTACTAAAAACCGTATGACGTGCATTACCTCCATTATATCGATTTAAATCTAAAACCCACAAAAGTATTCGTAGGCTACTAGTAGTTCTCGACCAAAAGCGCTATATCTCATCTCCGTGAGAGCAGGGCGTCGTGAAAAAATTCGAGGGGTTGCTACCTTTGTAAAGTTTGAGCAGCATTCCGTAATCCAAATGGCATTCGAAGAAACTCAAACAGGCCAAAAGAAGTCGTGATAGCGGTTTGCTCGATATCTTCAAGAGCGACTGAAATCTGATGATGTGCTCGTACCAGATCGATCTTAGAAAAGATAGTCGTGCCCTTGAGCGATACAGTGATGTCGTATATGTGGGGGATGGGTTAGCTATTAATGCGTGTAACTACGTTCGATACTCGGCAGACGCCGCACGGTCTCCAACTAACCCCATACATTTTGCGCACCATATGAAGAGGTGAGGCCGAGGGACTGTGAGAAGGACGAATAATATCAGTAGCTAATAAATTGTTAAGCTCACGTTTAGTGAAAGCTAGCTTGTCCGGTGCCAGTCAGTGTGGTCTTGTCGTGACTGGGGGTCCGAGGGTGACTATGTGTTGTACCACACGATTGGTCACCGATGAAATCTCCTCGAGTGGTTTAGTTAATTTGGGGAATTTCTCGAATAGAGCGTGGAATATATCGTCACGCGAATGAAAGACGCCTAAGATTCGATAGGCGTTCGTTTGAACTTTGAAGCCCATGAATTTGCTGTTCAACGAAGTATCAATTAGCTGCAGCCTACGTGAATCGACTAGCAATTCATAGTGCTGTAGGAAATCAATACCGAGTATGGCTGTGGGAACATCGGCAATGTTGAACGTCCACAGATACTGTCGTCAGTTGCCCAGGTTGACCGTGAGTTGTCGTGTACCATAGGTAGGAACGGCTGAGCCATTCGCAGCTCGTAGTCGAAGCATCATGGCCTGTGACTTACTGTTACCGAGAGGTAAGACAGAAACTTGGGCATATGTATCTATTAGGTGC